ATTTTCAACAAAGTATTTTTTTTTAATGCATCCGTTTGTAATGAAGGTTTGTTCTGGTTTGGTTTTAATATTTTGTTCTGGCAACACACGGGATGTCCCGTCGTTAAATTAATACGCTCATGCAATGTTTTGTACGTTCTAGTTAGTTGTTCTAGATCTGTGGTAGCCATTATGGTGAATTTTGGGTTGTAAAAGTAGCGGCAGAATATACTATATATTATTAGATAATTAAATAATGTATCAAAAAATATTGATTATCAAATGGATAGGTCATTGTCATATAATCGGAAACCCAATTATGTACTTTAATAATATAATATTTACTCATGAGCTAGTAACAGATTTCATACAACTTATGTATATATTTTGACTCTGCATCCGAGCTAACTTAATGCTTGACAGTTGCAGTTGCAACTACTCCTACACAAAGTAAACTTTTATATTTTCGATATTTAATACGGAGTTGAAACTTGAGTGAGCAAATATTAAACATTCCACAAGATTAGCGACAGAGTATAGTAATTCTAAATAACACTGAATCAATATTTTTTATTAGATACTAAAGAGGTAAAGTTAACTCGTATGTCCTATGTAAAGGTTAGATACAGGATAAACAAAAGTTAACATACCATACCGTTTGTAATTTTTGTCCCTCGAGTGGATTGACAGTGGATATCAAATGTCAAGTTCGTTGCCAGTAACAAGACAAGAGATAATATATAAAATTACGAGCTGACCCGGCAAACTACGTACCGCCTAAAAGTTTTTTCTCACCTTTTAAACCTTCCCTAGTCTTCCACGAACCTATCAAGACCAAAATTAGCCAAATCAGTTCAGCCGTTCTCGAGTTTTAGCGAGACTAACGAACAGAAATTCATTTTTATTTATATATAGATAATAAAATTAATGAATTTGGTACAAAATTAGCCGAAATAGCTTCATTATATCAGAGAATTCACTTGTGCTTAAGTGACAGGTTAGTAAGTATAAATCATAGTTACGTCTGTATATTGATGCACTCCCATAGTTACATACTACACATATTCAGACGCCCACATAACAAATGAATATAATTTCTTAAACGACGTGCCACATAATTAAATGACCCATCCATCACGCTGATAATTGAATACAGAATTATAATATGGAGCTCTCAAAACGTCTTCTAATTAAACATCATAAATAAGACCGGGTTCAACGCATCTAACGACCAATTACAGCCATTAAGTTCATTTTGCGTTGATTTAGCAATTAATAAAGTTTTTTGGTCGTGAGCTGATGGATTACGTCAGTTCGCCATAGTAATTACTATTGCAAGGGCAAAAAATGTACCTAGCCGTGTCTTCTTCGAAATTATTTAGAGTGAGTTAATTGCGGTTTCGTTTCTTTTGAGAATTCACAAAAAATCTCGTGTTGCTAGAGAAGAAGATGATGATTCATTGTACAAATATTTTAGGATATGTATTTGTATCGTGGAAGTTAGTCATATTGTAGTTTTGTGGTTTTTTACGGAACTGTGTCTGAGTGTGAATTGAAATCCGATTTTCCATAAGTTTTTGTTGGAAATACTTAACAAGTCAAGTGATCAGACGTTAGTAGCGATCATTATGACGAACTATTTAAACATACCTACATCGTTAAGTTCCGGGATCCTTGTATTTTTTGCTTTACATCGATTGATGATCTCCAATAAATGATAATAGTTAGACCTGATAGTCCATACCTTTTTTGTAGATCGAGAGCAATCGTGATACCTAGTAATCATCGGTAATTTTCTATTCGATTCAATGGTTTTTCTAAATTGACTGTGCAGTCGAAATTAATTAATAAAAAAGAGACGGAAAAAAAGAATATAAAAATCTTGTTTCTAATCTTATACTTTTGTCTAATATTTCATATTATAAATATTCATGATTAATTCTAATTTGAATATTAGTTTGGTACAAATAAGAATGAATTTTCTGTGATTTAATTTACTGCAGCTACTGTTTCAACGTTTATTTGTTAAACCAATTAACAGTTTCACAAAATGTTAGCTTTGCAGTGTCGAAATTCTTAAAAAGGGAAGTCGATTTCGTAACGAATCAGTCTTAAAGTATATTTACATACGCGGTAATGTGAGAAAAGTAACATTAATTGAGTTTTGATCATACGAAAACTCCTTGGAATTACCATAATTTTGAAGTATGAAGTCGAGTAATTACATTTTACACAATCAAAGAGTACTTGTTAATAGTTGTGTGAATTAGTTATTAGTGCAATCCAAGGGACTCTCGAATTAGTAGGAAGAGTTGACGCAACAATAACAATGGTTGGGAATGGGCGGGCGAGAACCATGAAGATTGCTTTTAGTTACTTACTGATAATAAAACTAATATAATCATCGATCTAAATTGTGAACACACAGCAATGACTATTAAGATTATAGTTATTGTTTTAACATAAACATGCATGTTTTTATCATAAACGTTAAATACTAATATACTAACCATTTTAATTTAATTCAAAGAAGATGAGCTTATTAGTTTTATAGCATATTATATTATATCAGATAGGTATAATATACGGATTATATAAAGATTAAGACTTCATTGCATTCACGTAAAGTTGCTATTACGAACTTATACTTGTGTAATACTTATTAAAATATTTGCGTTCATTTAAGTTAATCATAATGTCTTACCAGATATGTTTAAAACTTATCGATTATATACCATATTCGTTTGGATAAATAAAGACGGAAGTGGAAGTACATATCGGTTAGTCTGTACAATACCGGAACTCATGTTGCCAATTAATTATTATTTATTTTAGCATTTTGTAGTTTTTGTTGCATAAAAAGAGATCGTAGAAAAAGTTTGACTCTAAAACAAAACTACATTAATTTTATGCGAACAAAAATGACGTTGCATTCTAAATAAGTAATTTTAAATTGTTTTAATTTGCTTTCTCTGAATTGAGAGCCAAAAATGTTTGAATGATGTCACTATTGTGTGGGTTGTCACAAATTGTTGGGTCTTTATTGTATTAGATTGCAATATTTAGATAATTGTTTAGTCTAGTAATTTGAGCAAATCGCCAATCAGTGGGAGCGGTCAAAATACCTACCCAGTCTAACCCAGTGCCCAGCAAGCTTGTAATAATAGATCGATTTGGAAACAATCCGGAATTACGGTGCACTTTCATGTTTAACCAACAGACCAGTTTTATTACAGCAGGTAATTGTGTAGACCATGCAACTAGCGCTTTTCATACTATCGAATATCATGAATATAAACCAGAAATTAACAGATAGGGCACGAGAACTTACCTATCATTAAAAAGTTTACAATCCTAACGCAATGCGTGCTTTAACGTGGTAGTTATGAATTGCTTTACGTATATGGCAACATAACATTTAACGTTAGTGTAGGTACTATAAAGCATAGATAAAAACAATCCGGCTATTCGTTGGAACAATGTGAATCACAAGCGAATTAGGAAGTGTTTTTTTGGAAGCGAGCAGTGCAATCAAGGGTAATTAAAACGCTAGAATGCAGAAGATACAGAAAAAAATTATAATCGTTTAGCTAATCTGACTTCATTATACTAACTTAATTGTTAACCTTAATACTTGCACGTTGCGGAATGAATGCCTCCTACTCTATAATTTTGTAAACTACATTTTGAATGGACATTTGAATTCTAAGATACATAGACAAGGCTCAACAATTAAGACTATTAAGAGTTGACTAATCATTTTGAAATATAGTCGTTTAAAAAGAAAAGAGCTTAATACGTCACTAGCATACAGACTATAATTACATGCGAGTTACCTCATGGGACATGAACATGATAAATCACACGTAGAAATAGTCTTAAGGTTCTTTACGAAATTCAAATACTTGATTAGAAAATTACGTAATTTTATGAAAATATTATGTATAAACTGTGATTGATTGTCATGTGTGTCTATAGAATTTTAGTTGGTTGTGTAAATTATTGTAATCGATATTGTCATCTCATCAGTTGGTTTTGAAACAGACAATAGGTGAAAAAAATAGCAAATCTTAAGTCTTTTCTTCCGGCTGATTCTCAGGTTAAATATAAGTGGAACATCGTGTTCAGATTCTGTGTCATTGACCTGGAACAGTGCCGCATGAGGCCATTATTCCACCTTCTGTCATATGGACATAGTTTCGCCGTAGGTAACTGCCAAATTATGGGCGTGAGATATTTTGGTTTACAACAATATGTTATGTCATTTTTTGGCGAAGAAAATAAATCTCCATTCTTTGTCTGATTCTGTTGTTGTATGAACTGATAAAATGATCACTTGTAAGATGGAAGCTATAATAAGCTTTCTTAACAGAAAATGTATGCATGTGTATATTTTATTCTCTTTACTTAAAGAAAGGTGATGCGTTCTGTGTTGCCAATGTGCGGGTTGTTGAATGATTCAACGAGCTTTGTTTGTCCTACGATGTATCAACTATAAACTATGTGATACTAATACAATGTGGTCGATTATACATTTATACAATGTATATGATTGTTGATACGACTGGGTTATGTTGTATATAGAAATAAGCATAGTTATACCTATTTACCTACATATATGTATACTTTTTTTTTTAAGGGGGGATAATCATCGAATGGCTGCTCCCGCCTGGGTGAGGCGGGAGGGAGTGTCATACTCTTACTGACTAAAAACCACCTCGTTCCTTCTCCTGCACGTCGAGCCGGAGCCCCGGTTGCCCGTTAGGTTCTCCGCGACACAAATATGTATACTATTATGTCTTTGTAATGTACGTATTTAAAAAGTAATCACAGGTACTCTTTGAAACTACAGCTGTTATGTGTTATTTTTGGTAACTATATTTGTTTTAACTTAAAAACCACGTAATATATTACAGTCTCAAATATTGTCATTGAAACTTAACATGAGATCATAGCATAATTGTAGGTTATCAATTAAAACGACAGCGCATCTTGATGTATAATAACAGATACCCACTCACCTATTACAACTGCACTTGTGAACACAATAAACACCTCCTAATATGGCACAAGCAGCATTGGCACAAAACATCACAATATACACTATTCGTATACTAGTTGTGTCACTATAGCACAGGGGATGGAAACTTATGTCACTAGGGGGCGGTGAGATCGCGTGTTTGAAGTCGTGTGAGTTGTCACAAATATCGGTCGTATGGTGTAGTATCGTTAAAGGCTCGGGCCGGACTGAGCACTTTATTATTATATCGCGGCAAGGAGCGCTGTATTCAAGGTTCCGGCCGCGGCCGGCGCACGCGCACGCAGCACGTAGCGACTTATCTGCCGTCGCCTTTGTCGCTCACGACTCGCGCTCATTCGCCTCGTCTCGTTACGTTCACGTATCGCGAGGAAATCTTGGAAACAATTTCGTGACAGTAGATCCTGTTTTTGATCTTTTCCCTTACCTATGAAGCAAATAGTTTGTATGATTCCAAAAGTTCCAAAAACTTATAAAGAAACCTTAAATATGAATGAAAAAGATTAAAATACCAGATTGACTTACATAAATAAAATCGTAAGTGATTTCGTACGTACAGCTGCGCGGGAATTCCCAGAATAATTTCGGAAATATCTTTCTCAATGCGGCCCTTTCATGTTATGTAAGAAAACTTTTGCATTTTACTTTGGCGAAATCAAGGGCGTGACCCAAGCTGTGTGTTTTGTTGTATGAATGTATATATGAGAGAATTATCATAAGAATTTAATTATTGCAAGGTATATTATGTGACAGATACATTGAGTTTTATTACTGAAATAATAATGTGTTTATGTGCGACATGTCTCTGTTGACATATACATACAATAATACGTCCTGTTGTGTGACCTAAGAAATATATGTACAAAAAAAAACAATATAAAACGGACATATATTTTAAACCGGTTCTTTCTATCAACGTTTCAAAATTATGCAACCTACATTGATTTAGTTTTCTTCGACTAATTATAAAGTAAAATATGACGTCATATAGATAAAAACAAAAATAAAATTCTTTTTCGTAGCACGTCGTAGCACGTAGCTGTAGCGGACTAGGGAACATGTGCTACGAAAATACGAGGGTTGCTACGCGGAAATATTGCTACGTTTGCAAAAATCTATATCAGATTAAATATTGACATATTCTCGTATTTCTGTTATTTCCTCATATTCTTAGTATTCTTACCAAATACGTAGGGTATTATTAGATTGACAAACAAACTTACATACCGATAATATAATTTGAATAAGGAAAACATTTGTTGCTTAACAATAATTTAATGTAATCTAATATTATAATATCATTATTGATTTTGATGCAGAGATAATAAGCAGGTAGTATTAATAAAGCGAGTATCGGAAATAAATTATAACTGGCCAGTTGACCTTTCTATTTGGCATATTCAATAGCAACTTGTATACGTAGAAGTAAATAGGAATCAGAAATCACTTCCTACTTGCACAAGGTTACTGGGTATATTTCCTCTATGTATTGGTCCGTATTTATTAATAGACGAACAAAATATGTTTATGGTTTTGCTGATAGTGATTGGAGCCATTAGTTTATATTATGAGAATAATTTTGTGATGCCATCGATCATTGATCCGAAAGAATGCCTCATTGGCCGAGTGGTCTCAAGTGCGACTGCCAGGCAAGGGGTCTCGGGTTCTATACCCGGGTCGGGCAAATATTACTGAGTCTTAAAAAAATCTCAATAGTAGTACGGAGTCTAGAAATGTGCCCGGTATATTGGCAATATACTTACCCCTTATTACATGGGGCGCATAACATAAATAGCGAAAAGTGGGTGTTACATTGTATAGTGGCATTAAGTACCGTAATGTGCACCTCTGCCTACCTCTTCAGGGATAGAAGGCATGATGTGCATTGGTATATGTATTGGTCCGAAATAAAATGCAATGAAATATTCTTGGAATAAATCAAAACTGTATTTTGAAATAGGTTTCGATAATTTATTCTCCAGGGATTGTTAGACCGTAAAAGCAATCCTTCACGTGTAATTTACAAATTTATTTTATACTAGCAGCCCGTCCCGGTTTCGCACGGGGTAGACAATTATTTATTTTTGGAAATCTGGATTGTTGTAGTGACATAACTACAATAGTTGGACATATGCTACCGCGGAGTTTTTTGTAGACATTATGATGTTCTTGAATATTGTTGTACAATATTTTGTTCTATCGCTAATAGTTTCGGCAGCGCATTCGACGAAAGACATTTTAAGAGTCATTTTTCTACACCTTCGGTTACATTGATCAAATTTTACAAAGGATTTTTTTTTTTTTAATGGGACAAGCCCGCCACAACCTCCCAAAACCGCTGCAACTCCTGTAAGCCAGGATCTACAGTAGATACAACCATGAAAACACCGGAACACTGAAGTCCGGCGCGTCCCAGGGACATGAGTAACTGTCTTGGTTCCCGCAACGAAGTGAATCAGAAGATATTATAAGAGGAGAAGAAGAAAAACTATGGTTTTCACTTCCCTCGGTGAATTACTGCAGGAGACAGAATGAATTAAGCCTAAAGGCACAAAGAAGAGACTGTACAACTGGGTGAAGCCCAGTCGCCAAGCACCACGGAAATTTGACTAAAAACTAAGTGGGTCCTATGTGTGAGCTGTTATACTTGCTTCCAATAATAGGTATGGCAAAAACGCCTAAACGCACGGAAATTCGTTCTAGATTCCACAAGGTCCGTATAATAAGCTACACCTGACGAAACAATTAAATTATTTAACATAGTGTTACGTTCATATTGCCAGAGATCACACTCCCAGAGTATGTGATGGGCCGACTGCTCGTATCGCAACTCCTCTGTCGAACATTGGCACCATGGTGAATCAATAAGTTTAAATGAGAACAATTTGCCTTTAAAGTTGCCGTGGCCAGTAAGAAATTGGGCAACACAGTGATCCACCTCCAACCATGTCCTCTCCAGCCGCTCATGCACGGATGGAAAGAACTGATACAGGTGGCGGCCCTTAATAGAAGATGCCCATCTACCCTGCCATTCAGTTATAAGCTCATCCCAAACGTCCGTTATTGGCTTAAACAATCTTGCAATTTTATTTCTATCACGTTCTGCCAGAAAGCTAGCTGACAAATTAGGTCTCGCACTGTAGTACATAGCAGCACGTCGCTGCACCTCAAGATCTACCGGAAGTACGCCCGCGAGCACAGGTAGGGCTTCAGTGCTAACCGTCATATAAGACTTACACAGGAAAACTACAAAGGATCACTAATTTAAAAAAAATGAAATGTAGCCTATGTCAAATTGCAAGAATGTAGCATTCTATTGGTGAAAGACTTTTTTAAATCGGCCCAGTACTTTTTGAGTCTATTCATTACAAACATACAAAAATAGGTACAAATCTTTCCTCTTTATAATATTAGTATAGCAGGGATGGCCAGCTTGTTTAGACCCAAGATCGATTTTTCCCTGACGACACCTAGTACGATCTACCAATTACTTTACTACTTAAAATCTTAAATGAAACAGCATAATTCGTACACAATTATGTAATATTTTAATTTTATTATGAGGGAAAACATAAAACCACACCATATTATTGCAATTGGTAATATCATTGTACAATGTATTTCACTTTTTTTTATTGCCAAGAACGCCTGGACTAATAGTTGCATTCGACCGGTCGATCGCGATCACTGGTTGGCCACCCATGGTATAGACGAATGACCATTAATGAGTTTCACGATGATGAAAGAATTTTAGTGCACCTCTTTTCCTTAAAAAAATATTAATAGCACAATATTGAATGGCAAGGTCTCAAATAGTACATTGTCTTACCAAATATTGTGTTACTCCCGGCACAATGAAGGATAAGTGAGTGTTTTGTAACAGTGATACTCATACATGTGTCATTTACTGACTTGTAATGAAATTAGACGCTGCATTGTGATGGTAACTCGAGAGTTATTCTTTTGAAATTTATATTAACAAACATGAATCGCGACGTCCTTTGTTAGTTTCTCAGTTTTGCATAATACACTACTGAGTACAGTAGACAAAATTAATTCGTGTACCTGTACAGTCTAGTGCATAAATTCTTTATTGTTAATTAAAAGACATTTCAAAGTCATGCAACCAGTTTTTGTTTGATTATTCAAATTGTTGTTAATGAGAAGAATTTATTAATAGTACTTCTGTGTGTGTATGTTGACCCGTTTACAAGTATTATAAATGCCCACTGCTGAGCAAAGCCTCTTCTCACACGGAAAAGGTTTGAGCATTAATCACCACGCTTGCTCAATGCGGGTTGGCGATTACTAACTTATAATTAGACATTATAAGCCCAGGTTTTCCCACGATGTTTTCTGTCACCGTTTGTCAGTGGTGTCTGAATAATCTTAGAAAGTATATATAACTCGGAAAAAGTCACATTGCCCTATTGGGTAGACCAATGGCAAGTACCAATGTGAATATAATAATATTGGGTTAAAAGTTTACTTTACAAGTTACATGAGGACAGAAGGTGAAATATTAAAGACCTTAATTCATCACATCTTTACAGTACAGTACACCAGATTATATTGCGTACTGTGCTATGTACCTACTATTTATATAATGCACCATACTGACAGTAGTATGTGACATACACCATGTCTAATTTAATTTAGTGTCCTGGTTTCGGTGTGAATAGTTTCGCTAGCCTACTTGAACTCAGCTAATGATGTTGTGTTATTATTACATTATTTTCTTCACGCCATAGTAATAGTGAATACTGACAGACATAGTGCTGTAATGTTTACAAATAGTTTGTATTCAATACCGATATGTGTGACACCATTTTAAACAGCTGATAACACAAACGAAATAAGTACTTTAGGTATGGTAATAAGATAAGTCCTGCCACTTATACCAGTCGGAGTTCATCTCGGAAGCCTACCTTTCTACTCGCACACACTTCCTGGGTCTCATTAATGTTTCCTGGATTAGTTTATTTAAAAAACATTATCAAACAACTTAATATTAATCTACAAGAATAATGAGCCATCGAAATATTTGAGATTAGCATGTGTAGTCGAAATAGATGTGTGGGTGTTTCGTCTATCATGCAGGATTTTGCCCTTCGAGGTATTTTATAATATTGAGTGTATTATGAGGTAAGAAGTCGAACCTGGGAGTTGAAATTAACCTTCATGTGTTGGACCAGATTATAATCACCAGCTAGACAAGGCTGTCTTTTCGAATATAAATCAAAATATCAACGTTTGACATCCGGAAATT